GAGTTTGTGAGTGTGTGTATGTGGGAGGGGTGGCTAAGAAGATGTGTAATGGTGCACACAAAGTACCCATATAGTGATGCTTCAGGAACATGGGACTAGGAGTTGGGGATGTGAGAAGGGGCATGCCCTACAGTATTGTATGGGGTTATTGATATATTATCCCTTTAACAAGATCCAGCACTCCTTTGCTGAATTCAGATGCTTTCATACTGTTCTTTCTATCAAAAACAAATAAAAAAAAAAGTGATTCAAAATGCATTCTTTATTTCACCTCAGAAACACCTATTAATTTTGTATTGTTATATAAATTTAATTTGTTAGTCCCTCAAAGTTATTTATTAGAGTTGTAATAATTATGACCATTGAGGTCTGTTAATAAAGACTCAAAATATAAAAATCCTTTCTTTCAAAATATAAAAACTCTTTAATATTATGAAAACATATATGTATATGTTACATAAAACAAACAGAAAAATGTAATTATTTATAAGGAGTCTTCAGTTTGATTCTGTTCTCATCATGACCCACATATCTCACTGTTTGTTGGTGGTAGAGTCCTGCTTTTGCATCATCCACGGGAGAGGATGGAGATAGTCTAACTCTAGCTCTGCTGGCAGCTACGGCTCCCTCCAGTCAGAGACTCCGAGTGACCTGGGAGAACATTTATTAGAGCAAGTATTGAATGTGTGTGTTATAAAGTAATCAACACCACATCAGCTGCTGCTGCCCAGCTCAGTAGTCTGTGAAATGGGCAAGCACAATATTGGACCCAGAGGAAATGGAAGGAGAACCACTGATAAAAGAATGCCTTTTTTTTTTTGTTTAAATTACAGAAAGACATAAAATGAACATAAATAAACGTTTAAGTATTTGATTTAAACATTTGGTTTTGGGGCACCTGGGTGGCTCAGATGGTTAAGCGTCTGCCTTCGGCTCAGGTCATGATCCCAGGGTCCTGGGATCGAGTCCCACATCGGGCTCCTGACTCAGTGGGGAGTCTGCTTCTCCCTCTCCCTCTGCCTCTCCCACTGCTCATGCTCTCTCTCTCTCTCTCTCTGTATCTCTGTGTCTCAAATGAATAAATAAAATCTTTAAAAAAAAATAAACATTTGGTTTTGTTGGTTTAAATACATTGTGTTTCATTATGTCAAGCACAAAAGTCTTTTTATTTTTTATTTTAAGATTTTATTTATTTATTTATTTGAGAGAGAGAGAATGAGTGAGAGAGAATGCACATGAGAGAGGGGAGGGTCAGAGGGAGAAGCAGACTCCCCACTGAGCAAGGAGCCTGATGCGGGACTCGATCCTGGGACTCCAGGATCATGACCTGAGCCGAAGGCAGTCGCTTAACCAACTGAGCTACCCAGGCGTCCCCAGAAGTCTTTTTAAATCAAAATTCTGGAAATCTTTTCAGCTTGTGTGATTTGAAGGAAGTTACTGGTACTGTTTTTTAGTCATTCTTGATAATTATTACCATTGAGTTCTAATGAAGAGAATTAGAAACTATTCCCCTACTTGAGACTGCTTCAGATCAGCAGGTATGTAGGAATTCCTCATCCATAAACTAGGTATTATAATTGTGTCTTTAGTTTAATGTACATAATGAGATTAGAGCAGTATCTGGAACTTAGAAAGCTCTCAGCAAGGGCGTCTGGGTGGCTCAGTCATTAAGCGTCTGCCTTCGGCTCAGGTCGTGGTCCCGGGGTCCTGGGATTGAGCCCCACGTTGGGCTCCTTGCTCAGCAGGAAGCCTGTTTCTCCCTCTCCCGCTCCCCCTGCTTGTGTTCCCTCTCTTGCTCTCTGTCAAAAAATAAATAAAATCTTAAAAAAAAAAGAAAGGTCTCAGCAAATGTTAGTTATTAATCTTACTGTGTTTGTGTACTACAACCTGGACTCTTGGATACTTATCTAAATCTTGGTAGTAAAAACATCCAAACATTGCAAGCAGATAACAAGCTAAATAAAGATGTCATTAGCAACACAATAACTATCTTTAAACCCCAAGCTTTAAAATCAGGGATATTGTATAATTTAAAAAAAACAGGGGCACCAAGGTGGCTCAGTGAGTTAAGCATCTGCCTTCAGCTCAGGTCATGATCCCAGGGTCCTGGGATTCTGGGTGACTCAGTGAGTTAAGCATCTGCCTTCAGATCAGGTCATGATCCCAGGGTCCTGGGACTGAGCCCCGCATCGGGCTCTGTGCTCAGTGGGGAGTCTGCCTCTCCCTCTCTCTCTGCCCCTCCTTCTGCTCATGCTCTCTCACTCTCTCTCTCTCTCATATAAATAAGTAAATAATCTTTAAAAAAATAAAAAACTAATAATATGGAAATTCTAGGAAATATCCTCAATAATCCCTCAGATATTTTCTAAAATGAAACATATCAGGTGCAAATTCCTTCATTTATTCAGCAGATCTTTAGTGAGTTCCTAAAATTTGCCAATGTATTAGGTGTAAAAGATTCATCAGTGATTAAGACAGAGTCTCTGACCTCTCCCGTGTATGATGCAAAAGCAGGACTCTACCACCAACAGACAATGAAAAAGTGCCAAATTTTAAGGATAAGAGTATGCCAGTCAAGCAAAATGATGGGAGGAGGGCGGGATAGGAAGCATTTCAAAAAGAAAGACCAGCAAATACAAAGGTGTAGAAGTAAGAAAAGGTTTGGTGTGTTCAAGCAATAGGAAGACCATATACTTGGACTATCATGACTAAAGGTGAAAATTGTATGGATGGAGGTTGAAGAGGAGGACAAACCCATGGTTAGGAATTTGGCTTTATTCTGAGAGAAATGGGATGCCATGGAAGGATTTTAAGCAAGGGATAATACAACCTAACTTATGTTTAAAAACATCTGGCTATTTTATGAAGCATGGGTAGTTGGTATTGTCAGAAGTAAGATGAAAAGAAAAGCAACTCAGTGACTCTGGAAGTACTCCCAGGGAGAGATGGTGGTGTCCTGGAATATGGTGGTCATACAAATGGAAAGCAGTGAACTGATTTGAGATGTATTTTGGAGCTGGAACCAACAGGGAATGGGGAGAGAAAAAATTCATTGATTCTGCCTTGAATGACTCAGTGGACTGTGCTTTTGTCTCCTGAAATGGGAAAGAGTTGGGGGGAAAAGCTATGTTTTTGTCTTGTGAGATGCCTATTACACATTCAAGGAGTTTTCAAGTAGGCAATGGTGAGGCCTGGATTTAGATCAAGGTATACAGTTGGAAGTTGTTACCCTGGGTGGTATTTAGAAGTGTGGGATTAAATGTGACCATCAAAGGATGCTGCTGAAGACATAATTATAATAAAAAAAGTGAGCAAGGACTTGGCAATAAAAGTTTTTGGTGACTTAAAAGATTGGAAAGTTTGAAGAGTGAATTAAAAATAAGGACGCAGATACACATGACTCATTCGAGGAGTTTTACTGTGGAAAGAAGGAGAAAATGAAAGTATTTCCTGGATTCAGGGGAGTATATGGTCAAGGGAGTTTTTGTTTTTTTTTAAGATGGGGGATAGAAAAAATATTTGCATACTGATGGGAATGATCTAGCAGAACTAGTGGATGTATAGCTGTGCATGAACTGAGTTGCAAAAATCCTTGAGAAGGTGAGAGGTTTGGAGCAAAATCACATGTGGAAACAATTGGTTTTGATAGACATAAAGACATTCTTGAAACTGAAAACAGAGGAAACGTGTAGAGTTGATGGTGACACCATGATAGAATTCTGATCGAGTAATTTCTATTTTTTTAATGATTTTGAGGAAAGACCCTTATCTGAGAGGGTTAGAGAAGAGGTTTCCAAGAAAGTTAGGTCATTTTAGAAAGTGGAAAAATGAAGTTACTTGGGAAGGGTTATAAAGTTGCTGGAAACTGGTGACCAATCATTTTAGATTTGTTTTCGTGAAGTTGAGATGAAAACAATAAGCCAATGTGTGATATTTGCTAGCAATATGTAGCCACTGTGTGGCAGGCAGACAAAAGGAAGACAACAAAAAAGAGTTGTTTCAGTTAAATACAATGAAGCTATGACGAGGAAGTTGAGGGAGTTTCCAAGAGCATGAATATAGTCATGGACCCCGGGACCTAGCCTGAATGAGAAGGAAAATGAAGACCGAAAAGGGGTGAAAAAATAATGAGACCATAATGGAGATCACAGTGATGTAAAAGAGTGAATGAAGTGGATGCTCTAGAGGGAGTGAGCTGGAAGAGAAGGATCTGAGTGGGATATTTCCAATGGAGATTTTGGTGGTGATGCATTTATAGACAAATGCAAGGTCTTGGTTGTAACAGTAGGAATGGATGGCTAAGGGAAGAGAAGTGAATGAAAGTGAAATCAAAGACGTAGTAAGTAAACCAGAGTTTTTGATGAGTCATTCAAATGGCTGCTGAAATTCCAAGGAATGATGAATGGTGTAGGGTGGAAGGAATGTAGGTAGTCAAGTAAAAATATCATCAATAAATGAGAGGTCCTTTATAAGTAGAATCATAAAGGAGAGAAACAAGAAGGTGGATGGCAGAGCAAGATGGCATAGCTTCAAAGGAATTGTGGGTTTTGAAAGCTTTCAGAGAGATAGATGGGTTAGAAGCAACAATATGGATCAAAAAGGACACCTTTCAGGTGTTTAGGCTTCTTTCTTGTCCCTGAGACAGCTGCAGAAAACAATTTCATATTAGCACCGGGAAAAGGGCATAGATGAAGAAAGCACATATCTAGTAGCTGGTTATAGACTTTTTTTTTTTTAGATTCCATTGTAGAGGGCAAAATATCTCCTTAGAAAACAGTGGGAGATAACTGTTATTTTGTGTCTGAATTCTGAATGACTGTAGACAGCCTGTACTGGCATTCTTGTACAAGAAATTGGCCACAACACATACTTGTATGGGAAAAGAACAGCACAGGTCAGGGAAAAAAATGGACAATAAGAGAAAGAAGTAAAGAGAGGTAAGAGGCTAGGGGCTTCATTAATTCTTAGTGAGGGAATTTAATATTAGAATCTTATTGTTTATTTATAGTTTTTAATGTCATTATGCTAACACATATACAATAACCTTTTAAATTTCGATTTCCTAATGTTGGGTTTTGTTATTCTCAACCACTTTTTACTTTTCTTCTCTCTACGATCCCAAGACAAATAATATCTTTCGATACTGTTAAATATAGATATCTGGACTGAATTGAACTTACATGACAATTGCAGTCAAGATTCTGGAACTCAGAATGGGCAAACCAGGTAAGCCGTGCCAATTTTAGAATGTTGTTTTAATAAGGCTTATTCCTGTCTGGGTCGGCTGCATTTTACATATGCAATCACTAGGCTGTGAGTATGAAGAGTTATTGCCATGACAACCAGGACTGACTGACTTGTCTTTCAGAAATGGTAACAATTCAGCATATTTGTAGATGAAACCCCTGGTTCTCAATGACTTTCTAGAAGGTCATACAGTTTCCACAATGGTTCTCAGTCATGTGGAAAGACCCCTCATAAGGAAAAATGTGAGTTAAGTTCTAGTCATGCCTCTCCATGAGCCAAATGTGGGACCTCAGGCAAGTCTACTGGGGCCTCAGTTTCTTCATCCATTTAATAGGAAGCTGTAGGCTAGATTATATAGTCTTTAAGGTTGATTATGGTTCTAAATTTCTCTCATTCCATAGATTTACATATTATGAGCATGTGGAGCAAGATAATGTATCTACTCACTCTGTAATCATGTCATCACTTCTAAACATTCTGTGAACTCTTCTTTTTTTTGTCTTACCTTCAGAACTGACAACCTTCTCTCCTGATTTTGATTAAAAAATAATAACTCAAAACTCTTGGGGGTTAAAAATAATTCACGAATAAAGACAATTCTAAACATTTTTTGAGTGATTGCAGCTTTGTTGGGCTGCAAGGATATTTTTTCTCAAAGTAATGGACTTGAATGTTTCAAGTCATTTGATACACATGTTTTTGTAAACATCAGAGCATGTACTTCAACCAGCAGTTGATTTTGATTATTGTTCACAATAGAAATATGAACTAACTCTCTTTTGTGAATTTATTCTTTGTTCTTCCTGGTTGTGTGTAGTGGCTGGCAATCCATTTTAACTATCATTTATATAATAATATGATATTATATAACTGCTATCTAACTCCTGATTTTTATGTAACATAAAGCAATATTTCATAATAAACAGTTTTATCTGTTTGTGTTCAAGTGCCCTATCTCTTCATTATTTGCAAAACTAGCTATGATAGTATGGTTTGATAGTCAGATGTCCTCTTTATTCTAAAACATGGATTGACCCAAGTTTAGATGTTTTCTCGCTCAAAGGACTCTGAGAGAACTTTTCCATAACACTTAGTCATTGACCTTTTCTGGATCCCTCCTCCCCTGGCTTCTAATTAGGCCCTATGGGTAACCAGAATTATCCTTTCCTTGGAGTGAGGGCACATAGTACCAACTTTTTGGTTGCTTGCTATGGAGACCCAGGTATGAACTTGCTTCTTTTGGTCTATATTTCTGTTGTGCCTTTGGTAGGTGACATTGACTCAGGTTTGTCTTCTGACGTTGGTCCTTCTTATCTTTTCACTCTTTCATCTTTATTTCCTATTCTTCTCTCTCTATTCCCTGCTATTTCCTTAACCTAATACCTTTTATCAGGTCTTCCAATATTTCCTTTCCCATTCCCTTATATATTCCTAGACTGTGATCTGAGTTTATATGCTTGTCTTTATTCTCATTTTACTTACAAGCTCACACCTTCATAACCACGGCAGGCTTCGTGGGCATGAGACCTCTGCAGTTACATGGACCCCACACTGAGAAGGCCTCATGCTTGGTTTAATGCTCTGCTGTTGCCAACTTGAAGTTTTTAATAAGCTTTGAACAAGGACCTCTGCCTGTTCTTTTTTGCAATGGGCCCCACAAATTATATAGCTGTTCCTGATTGTAGCTATTTTTTTCCCTTTCTAGTTGGGTAAGTGGTTTTGTTTTAGTTCATCTCTTTTTCATTCCTCATCATATTTTTTTATTTATGGCCTTCCTGTGGTACATCATTTTGACTGCTATTTTAATATAGCCATATTTAGCTCTGTTTGTTTTTCACATCCGTCAGGAACATTTAGCATTATATAAAAATAGTATATGGTCAACTTTTGATTGACCACTCTGACTAAAGGAGAAGGGAATAAGGGAATCAATGAAGATTACAATTCATATAGGGAGTAATCATTTTGGAGAACATTGTGTGGTTTTTTACCTTTGGGAGAATTACCTTTTAATTCGTGTTTGCTCAGGTTAATTGGTTTGCACTCCCTGAATACACAATAATTGGTGGTTGGGGAGCCTGCTGAGTGGCATAGACTAGCTAACCTGAGGTTAAATATCTCTGCTAATAAAGGAGATTGATTGTTCTCATATTTTTCTGTTTTTAGACATACGACAAATGAATTATTTTTTGGTTTTCACAAGTTTACTTGAGGGGGTTAGTAGGATATAAAGGCTTTTCTAATAATATTCCAACACCTTTTTTGGTTTTCACAAACCAAATGGCCTATTCTTGTCTTTTTACCTGGTGGCAGAATGAGTCACCTTACTCTGTGATACTGTCTGCCCAGAAGCACTAAAATAGTAATGAAGTCTGATGTGGCCTCAGGTTGACCTAGCTGCCCAGGTGTTAGTTATCTTGGTTTGCTTGTTTTTTTTTTTTTTTTTTTAACATATCTTCTCCTATCCCTTATTAAGTGTCAGTCACTGTTCTAACCACTTTAAAAATCCAAGCTCAATTAATCCTAGGAATTAGGTACTATTAGTTACCCCCATTCTTTGTTTGGAGAAACAGAGGCATAAATAAGTTATATAACTTTCCCAAAGACACAGTCACTAGGTGCTAACACGAGGATTTGAACCCAGGCAGTCTGTCTCAGGTCTGAGTGGCATCCTGCTGTTCTAATGCATGATCTGTTTAATTTTATCCATTCAGACCCTTAGAGAGTTGGAACCCTAGGTGACTGATGAAATAAAATCTTATCATAGTAAAGGACTTCCTAAAAGTCTCTGTTTCTTTAACTTATCTTCAGTTGGCAATTTATAATAACAAGTAAAGGAATGTGTAAAAAAACCCACGCAGACCTAGATATTAAAAGTGCATATGACTCTAAAGCAGATATATATGAGATGTGATTCTGGATCCTACTGAGATGAATTCCTGACAATATATTCCTGGGAACTAACATTAAAGAGATGCTTCACTAACTGTCACAATCTCTTTTGGAAACTTGTGATCACAGCTGGTGTCATTGCTGACATCTTTTATCTGTTGCCATACTTTTTCTTTTGGCTAGACATTACAGAGTGCGGAGTTAGATGGCCAATCAATGTGCTGCATCAGAATCAATAGATCTCAGTAAGCATTCCATTAGGCCCAGGAGCCTTTCCATTTCTCAGTCCTGTCTAGGTTTTGCACATTCTTTCATGAAGAAAGAGAGTTTGGGGATTATTTTCTCTACCTGTAGCTTCTCATGGACAAATGCATTCCCTATTATTGTAGAAATCTAGTCAATAAAGCTGTCAGAATTTTAAAAAATATCGACAGTAGAGCCAAGTTCAGTGTACTTAACCTCTGTAGTTAAGTTCTGGGTGTGAAATATAAGAGAGGGAAATGATATTTATAGGAAAGTGCCCTGAAGTTTAAAAATAAGTTTAAAATGTTTTATGGTAGAAAAGAATCCTGACTTGAAGTTGAAGAGTTTGGATTTTGGCTTGGTTTGGTCACTAAGAATCCTGGACAGTTAATGAAATCCCTGCAAAATGAAAGGACTTAATCTGATAATTTTTAGTGTCCATAACAGCCCCCAATACTAAATTTTTTTACTTCAAAGAGTTTTATCCCCACAAGTCCATGTCAGTCCTACATGGATAGGTACCTACAGAATTTATGGGATCCAAATGAGAAGTGGCATATGGCTATGGTTATTAAGATCTCTATCCTTTCTTTTTATGGCACCTAAGTATCTCTTCTTGTTACTTGCCCTCTCTCACAGTCTACCCCTCTCCTTGCTGATAGCAAGTCAGAACCCATATAACAGCTTTGCCTCTACTTTAGAGCTTCAGGAAATTTTCTCTGATCTCTTTCTTCAGGCAGATAGGGCTAGTGTGGTTTCTTTACCTTCTACACATCTTAATTTCTCTCTTAGAATCCTAGAGATTATGCCCACCTCAAATAACACTTTCATATATGAGTTCGGTTAAGGCTAGCAACTGTAACAGGTGAATGTCAAGCCTCAAGTGACTTTACACAAATTGGGTATTCTTGACCAACTGGTGGCTTTCTTTCAAGCAGCTTCCTTTTAGTGTGTTGCTCTACCATCTTCTATACAAACCTTTCAGGGTCAACACATTACCCTGCAACAAGACAATGGAAGGGGAAAAACATGGAGTGTCATTAATGGAAACTTTTGATGGACCTAACCAGGAAATAATATTTGTCCATATTCCATTGGCTACATCCAGAGTGTCTGGGAAATGTGGTCTATCTAGTTCTCTGTCTAGGAAGAAGAGGAAACTGGTTTGATGAACAGCTGGTCCAGTAGTTCTCAAATTTTTGAAGGCATCAGAATCACCTGGAAGAAGTGTTAAAACTAAGACTGCTGAGTTCTGGTTCAGTTGGTATGGAATGGGCCCAAGACTGCATTTCTAGTAAGTTCCCAGGAGATGCTGATGCTGCTGATTCAGGGACAATGCTTTGGAGACCACTCAGCTTATGTGTGTTTGCTATACTTCTTAACACGTAACATATGGACTATATTTCTTGAGGACTTCTAATCTTTACTGGAGAGAGAGAAGGGTCATCGATGGAGGAGCAGGAAACCTGGCTTGTAAGGAAGTGGGGGCTCCAGAGTATAGATGACTTGAGTTCTGTTTTGGTTTTTTTTTTTAAAGATTTTATTTATTTATTTGAGAGAGAGAGAATGAGAGACAGAGAGCATGAGAGGGAGGAGGGTCAGAGGGAGAAGCAGACTCCCTGCCGAGCAGGGAGCCCGATGCGGGACTCAATCCCAGGACTCCAGGATCATGACCTGAGCCGAAGGCAGTCACTTAACCAACTGAGCCACCCAGACGCCCCTTGAGTTCTGGTTTTGACTCTTCTTAGCTGTGTGACCCTTGGCAAGTAACTTCATCTCTCTGAACCTTAGTTTCCTGTAACTAAGATGGGAATAGCATAATATCAGTCCCTCTTAAAACACTA